TGTGTTGGGATTTTGATGGGGATTGCATTGAATCTATATTGCTTTTGTTAGAACTGCAATTTTTACTATGTTGATCCTTTCTATCCATGAGCATGGGAAATCTTCCATTTTCTGGTATCTTCTTCAATTTCTTTCTTCAAAGACTTAAAGTTCTTGTCAAACAGGTCTTTCACTTCTTTGGTTAGTGTTACCCCAAGATATTTTATGTTTATTTATGGTTATTGTGAAAGGTGCTGTTTCTTTAGTTTCCCTCTCTGCTTCTTTATCCTTTGTGTATAGGAGGGCTACTAGTTGCTCTTGCATCCTGCCACATCACTGAAGGTATTTATCAGCTGTAGGAGTTCTCGGGAAAAGTTTTTTGGGGTCACTTATGTACACCATCATATCATCTGCAAACAATGAAAGTTTGACTTCTTCCTTTCCAATCTGAATCCCCTTGATCTCCTTTTGTTGTCTTATTGCTGTTGCCGAAACTTCAAGAACTATGTTGAAGAGATATGGAGAGAATGGACAGCCTTGTCTTATTCCTGATTTTAGTGAAATCACTTTGAGTTTCTCTCCATTTAATTTGATGTTAGCTGTCAGATTGCTGTATATTGCTTTTATTATATTTTGATATGTTGTTCCTTGTATCCCTTATCTCTCCAAAACCTTTATCATGAAGGAGTGTTGGATTTTGTCAAGTTCTTTTTCAGCACCTGATCAAATGATCATATGGTTTTTTCTTTCAGTTTATTTATATGATGGATTACATTGATAGATTTTTGTATGTTGAACCAGCCTTGCTTCTTTGGGATAAAGCTGACTTGATCATGATGGATGATTTTTTTATGTGTTCTTGGATTCAGTTTTCGAGTATTTTGTTGAGTACTTTTGAATCCATGTTCATGAGTGAGATTGGTCTGTAATTCTCTTTCTTGGTCGAGTCTTTGTGTGGTTTTGGTATCAGGGTAACTGTAGCCTCATAAAAAGAATTTGGCAATGTCCCTTCTGTTTCTCTTATGTGGAACACTTTGAAGTTATAGCTATTAGCTCTTCTTGGAAGTCTCTCTCTTTTTCTACTTTGAGATACCTTTTCCTTTTATAGACACCATCCTGTAGTTTTCATAAAAGGATCTATGAAAGATAAATTTTGTTATGATCTTTGAAAAATTATTTTTTGTGTGTGCATGTGGTATTTGTGTTCAGGTTCACATGGCTTCGAACTCACAGAGAATCTTCTGTTTCTGTCTCTTGAGTACTGTGATTAAAGACATGGACCACCATGCCTGGCTACTCTTGTTGGATTTGACCTACAAGTCAAAAAAACAGAAGCTCCAGACTTCTTTTTTTATACACAATGTAACTGAGGAATGTTGTGAAGGAAAGCAATTTTGGCTCAATAATTTACCTAATTTATATTGTTCAAATACAGAGAAAACAATTCAACAAACAGTAAAGAATTAATAAATATTATATCAGTATTCATGAGTACTTTTTGTATTTTGAGATGTGTTTCTCTGTGTAGCTTTGGGGCCTGCACTCTGCCAGGATAGCTTCAAACTCACAGAGATCTGCCTGCCTCTGTCTCCTGAGTGCTAGGATTAAAGGCATGTACCATCACTGCCTGGCCATTCATGAGTATTTATTGAAATAAACTACTTAAGGCTAAAGTTCAGCTAACTATAGATGAATTGTGAAATTATCATGGAAGAGCTAATGTAAAATTTGATGTAAAAAAAAATCTGAGGCGGTCTGTTCTCTTCTCTCTCCCTCTCCTCCTCGAGTAAGATTTGTAAGCTGTCTAGAGCAGATTGATCTCCACTCTCTTCTGTCAGGTGACAAGATCTACCAATTGTCCTTCTTTTAAATCTTGGTCATCATCACTCCTTTTAACATCTCCTCTTCTCTCCTCTTTTCTCTCCATCCCTTCTCTCTTCTTCCTTATCCTCCAAAGAAGTAAGGTTGATCAGTAGTCCAGGCTGGACTTTATCTCTCCTCACTTTGGGCAAGTAGTGGGGTTGGCCAGTTGTCAGTCTTCCTAGATTGGCTTATGGTTTTTGTGTGATCACCCACAATGCCATGGTACTCGAGTGGTTGTCAGAGGACAAGTTGCAAGAAGATTGAGTCCTTAATGTATGTGAGACCTGGAGATCAGACTCAGGTTCTTAGGTATTGTGGCAACTGCCTCTTCCCATCACTTTAACACATATTTTTGTTCTGCTCTGTCTCCCTACAAATCTCCAGACTCTCCTGGAAATGGTGATGGCAGCTAGGCCAGGCCAGACCAGGCTGTAATGGATCTACAGTGTGCTATGAAGCCTAGAGTCCTATATTGAGCCTCAAATTAGAATTGGAAGGTACGTTCACTGTACTCATACTAACATCTAAAAGTGTGCACCAGGGAATATGGACTGCTCTCCTTCCCCTAGCACTAATTTCACAGCTGTGACCTACACAAAATGAAATTTTATCATCTGAACATTGAAAGATATTCCTTGCCCTGTTCATATAACTTGCAAGTGGTTCTGTACTTCCAACCTAGCCCATCTGTCCTCTTCCAGTATATTCAATAAGATGTTTGCATTAAAAAATCTTTGAGGAGGGTCTTGAGTGATGACTCAGTGGTTTAAAACACTTGTTGCTATTTTCAGAGGAATTTGGTTCTCAGTATTCATCTTAAGAATGTTGACTAAAGAATTTTATACCCAGCTAAACCATACTTTTCAGTCATGTGAGACTTCAGACCTATAAAGGTTCATAAAGGTCTATTTCTGTTGAAATGAAGCAAGGGATAAGATAATATGGATGATTAAGACACGAGGAAGGAAGCTGGGAATTTTTTTCAATTTGAGTTCATAGGTTTATCTTGATTCTCTCCTTAATCTTTATGGAGAGAAAGTGTTAAAACATTAACTTGTAAAGATAAAAAGAATAGAACAAGAATAAACGTCAAAGAAAACAATCTAATTTTGGAAGGTGCAAAGAATACAAGCAAGTGGTAAATAACAGACTGCGTTATTTTCTCTTATTAAGAAGATTATTAATAATAGAAAAATCAATTCCAGTTAAATAATGATTCAAGTGGAATGTTCAGAGAAAAACTAAAACTAAAAGTTGCTGAGAATCTCTATGAGGAGCGGTTATATCTGAGACTTCCCTTCCCATCTGTAAAACAAGGCATGTTTATTTTACTCTGAGTGTCAGACAATGTCGGAGCTCTGTACTGAGGTATTGATAAGTACCAGCAAAAGCAAAGACAAGAGTTGGACTTTAGTGTGGAGAAGATAGAAAATTCTGCAGAGATTATCATGTTTCTCCCATACCAATGCCAAGTTTTTAGTTCCTTCCACCCTGTCCACTGACATTGTTATTGAATTCCTCTCTGGAAAATGACATGGGTCCATTAGAGAACTCACATATTTTTGGTCCTAAAATAAACTGTCTCTCCCTAAGTTAAGGTTGACCACTCAACTGGTCTCAACCACATACAGGCTATCTAATAAGCATTTGACTTCTAGGAAACTGATCAAACAGTCATCCAAAAAGTGTGAGAAGGAAACTTTCTAACATGAAGACAGAGATATGAAAATAAAGAAAATAATAACTTAAACATAAAAGAAAATGCTATTAGAAGTACTTTTAAAACTTAAAATTAATGCTTTCAGAAGTATCATAAAATACTCGACTCCTGTAACAAAATTAAAGGACACTATAGACAAATTAACAATATAAATTTAAAGCTGGGTGGTGGTGGACCATGCCTTTAATCCCAGCACTTGGGAGGCAGATGCAGGCGGATCTCTGTGAGTTCGAGGCCAGCCTGGTCTACAAGAGCTAGTTCCAGGACAGGCACCAAAGCTACAGAGAAACCCTGTCTCAAAAAAAAAAACAATATAAATTTAAGGGTTAAAACAATAAAACAGTGTTATAAAATATTGACCTCAAGTGTAAAGGGTAAAATTTAAAAAGCCTTTGGTAGGAAATAGCATAATCATTGTAATTTTTCATTAGGCAGTGATTTCCAAAATATGACACCTAAAGTACAAACCACCAAATAAAAATCAAAACATTGGGTTTACCAAAGTAAGTTCTTTCTTCAAAGGACATTATCAACAAGGTAAAATGATAGCATACAACATGAGAATTGTTCATAAAATGTTCATAAATTATTCAATGAGGCTCTAGTTTAAACTGTATTGCTACAATTCAACACATAGGAATGCCATTGGAGAATATACTCAAGTGGCCAATAAACACATGGAAATCCTCTCAGTTCCGGTCTTCATCTGGGAGCTGAAAGTCAAACCAGAGTAAGGTGCTTCTCCACACACAGGACGACAACAATCAAGAACAAAACAGGATATTGAGGAGTTCATTTCTCTGTGCACTGTTGGGAGGAGTGTAAAATGGCATTCTCCTTGAAAAATACTTTGACAATAACTCAGTAACCCAAAAGATATCATTATGCAGCACTCAGGAAGCAGATGGAGGTGGATCTCTGTGAGTTCAAGGCCAGTCTTGTTTACAGAGCGAGTTCCAGAGTTCCAAGACAGCCAGGGTTACACAGAGAATCCCTGTCTTAAAAAACAAAGATCTAGTCCCTTTGCAACATAGTAATTCTAATCATAGGCTTGTCTCAAAATAATTAAAAACATATGTGCAGAAAACCATTGTATATGAGTGCTTATAGCACCATTATTTATAATGTTCAAAGTTTCTTATGTCTATTGAGAAAAGTATGGTACATTCATCCAATAGAAAATACTGATATATATTATAACAGGATGGGCCTTAAAAATGTTATGCTAAGTGAGAAAAGCCAGACACAAAATGTTACATATTATATACATGAAATCATGTATATAAAATGTACAGAATGAATAAAATCCAAAGATATAGAAAACTGATTAGCAGTTTACCATGGACTAGAGGTGTGTGTGTGTGTGTGTGTGTGTGTGTGTGTGTGTCTGTCTGTCTGTCTGTCTGTCTGTCTGTTTTAATTGACACCGAGTTCATTTTTGGGGTGATGAAAGTATTTCAATTTTGACAGTGATAATAATTATACACAGAGGCATATACATTATATAGCACTAGGAAATAACCACATATTAATTAAATCTCACCATTTATTTTAAAACTTAAAAGCCACCATAGAAAGAAACATTCATGGAACATGAATGAGCTGTTTTAAAGCAATACTATGATACCAAAGACTGAATATTTAATCAGATGAATTTTTAAAAACTAGCTGGAGAATATCTACATTCTGGTAAAAATAAAAACAAAACATAGCAAGCATAACAAAGATAAGAAAACCTAGGCTACGTGTAGTGGCCCTACTATGTAATCCCACCACTTGGTAGGCTGAGGTGAAATCTCAAGCTCAATGCCATCATGGCCAATGAAGTTCCAGCATGCCCTAGGGTACATTAGACCATATATTAACATGAGAGAAATAGAAAACTTAAACATTAAACAACCTACTATTGAGCAATTGATTAATGAAAGTTTAAAATAAAAAAATTCTATCAAACAAATAAAAATGAGCCCAACACTCTACAGTCAATGAGATACAGCAAAAGCAGTATTAAAAGGGAAATTTATAGCAATCAATGCAGCCACTTAAAGAAAATAAAGCTCCGAGATAAACAGTCCGTCACCGTGCTTCAAAGGACCAAGAGGACAAGAACAAACCAAGGTCAAAATTAATAGATGAAAAGAACCAGTAGGGTAGAAACAAGCAATCAAGAGGCTGAATAATCCAGGACAGATGAAGGTAACCAAGAGCAGTTCTCTGAAAACAGAAATAGAGCAGACAAACCAGAGATGAAAATGGAGACACTGCAATCAACACTACAAAAACCTAAGAGATGGCAAAAGACTATCAATAATGAACAGACATATGCAAATAATTTTATAACCTAGACAAACTGTTGAAGAAACTTGGCAGGGCAAAAGTAATTGTCAGTTATTTAGAAGTCTTTTATCAAAGAAAGGTCAAAGATTAAATGGCTAAGCTACTGAATTTCACCAAATATTTAAATTATTCTCTGTATTTATGTGGCTACCCATGGGCACCCAGAGAGGGCACTGGATCTCACTGTTGCTGGTATTAAAGTCTGTGGTGAACCACCCGACGTGAGTGCTGGGAAATGAACTGGGGTCCCCAGAAGAATATTCGCTCTTAAGCACAAGTCATCTTTCCAGCAGCCCCTGAGAGTTTTAACCAGATGTTATAAGTTTACCATAATTCACATTTAGAGAACTGTTCTCATTCGTTAGCTCATCTCATTTACATTCATATGAAGAACTTATTGACTTATTTTTTTCTTTTTGATGTTGGGCATTTGTAGTAATAGGAGCGGCGGGGCTGCGTCCCCAGCACCCCGGCTGCCTGGCTAGCTTATGCCCCAAAATAACAACACACAAACTGTATTCATTTAAACACTGCTTGGCCCATTAGCTTTAGCCCTTACTGGCTAATTCTGATATCCCAATCAACCCATCTCTAATAAACTGTGTAGCACCGGTCTTACCGGGAAAGATTCAGCATGTCTGACCTGGCGGCTTGCTTCATCGCGTGCATCTGCCTCAGAGAGCAGAGCTATTGTGTCTGCCTGGGGGAAGGGAGCATGGCATCTCTGAGCTCACTTCCTCTTCCTCCCAGCATTCTGTTCTGTTTACTCCACCCACCTATGTTCTAACCAATAAAATGGGCCAAGGCAGTTTCTTTATTAGCCAATGACCTTCCTCCATCAGGCATTGGATCCAGGGCACCGTACATGTGAAGCACATGTTCTTTCATTGGGCTGCACCCCGAATGCCAGACATTATTTATTTTAGAACAATGCTGACTTAATGACAATTTTCTGGTGAAAGCATACTAATGTGCCTTCTTTGTGCTTACAGGGTATGTATTAACTATACAGAGCACACATCATGTTAAAAGGATGAGAATAAATAGCTACACACCAAAACCACTTATGGAAAATGAATTACAAGTGTACCAGCAAGTCTATCACTTTTTGATAGACCAAGTTTTTCAGAATGCCAAAAGATGATTTAATGAAATTTTATCAATTTTGAAAGAAAACACTCAATTTAAAAACAAAGTCTTGATTAATCAACAGTTCAGTTGAAGAAAGAAAATAGAGCTCTTGAGACAACTTGCAGCAGATTCAAAAGATTTAGAAGATCATGAAAAGGTTCACATAATTGAAAATTATATTTAAAGCTGAAAGTCATCATTTGCAATAGCGTTAAATTCATGCTAATGATAAACATAACTTTAAAAACACGGGTCCTTTGATTACAAGAAATCATCGGACAGGCTTAAATACCAGGGACCTGAAAACATCTTTGACATTGTAAAATGTGTGGTGAAAATAATACCACCAAGAAAGGACATTTTGCAGCTATTTCGTGCACTTGAGCGTAAGCTGGTTAATAAAAATTCAAGAAATTATCAACAATTAGAAACAGCTATAAATGTGACTATTAGTAACATGCTAATTTGCTCTTTATAATGAGTGAAAAGTTGGGAAATTACACATGCATCAGTGAAGACAGTAATTCATCCCACAAGATCAAAGCACGATTTCTAGTTAAACCCCAAATGATCCCTAAAGTTGGAAGGTTCCTCATCGTTCCGATAAGGCGCTTCATTCAAGAAGTTGGGAAGTACTGGTTTAAGAAATTTGAACTCATTTGTCCCTGTACCTCCCGTCAGACACACCTCATACTGGTAGCTCTGTGACAGGGTCCCCGTGCCACTGACATCAACCAGGTGTCCAGGAAAGTGTCCCTCAGGCGCAGAGCAGCCACCCAGAGAGGCTGCCCTGGCCCTCCTGCACAGCCTCACCCCCACGAACAGCAGCACAGACAAGAGAAAGAGCGAAGACACAGATGCCAAGGCAATGACCAGGTACAAAGTAAGCAGGTCTTCCTCCTGTGTGGGGTCGCGCGCCACCTCCGGTAGAGGCAGGAAGGGCTGAGAGAAGCCATCCACCACCAGTACTTGCAGAGTGACACTGGCAGACCGCTGAGGATCGCCATTGTCCTTGACCAGCAGCAGCAGCCTGTGCTTGGGCGCATCGCGCTCGCTCAGCAGCCTGGAGGTGCGCACCTCGCCATTGTGAGCCCACACGCTGAACAGTCCGGGCTCCGTGGCCTTGAGCAGCTGGAACGACAGCCAGGCATTCTGGCCAGAGTCGCGGTCCACAGCCACCACCTTGGTGACCAGGTAGCCAGGCTCTGCCGCCCTGGGTAGCAGCTCTGTGAAGGGCTCAGAGGCGTTCTGCAGCGGGTAGAGCACGAAGGGCGCATTGTCGTTGGCGTCCAGCACCTGCACGCGCACCAGCGCCTGGCTGCTGAGCGCGGGCGACCCTTGGTCTGTGGCGCCCACGTGGAACTCGAAGGTCTGAAGGATCTCATAGTCCAGCGCCCTGAGCGCGAACAGCTGTCCATTGTCTGCTTTGATGGAGATGAGTGAGGTTAGTTCCAGCTGTGGGTCGTGGGTTGGCAGCAGCGAGTAGGTGATGTGGGCATTGGAGCCTGAGTCTGAGTCTGTGGCGCTGATGGTGCCTATGTGCAGGGCGGGGCTGTTGTTCTCTTGGACAAACAGGGTGTAGGAGCTTTGTGTGAAGGTGGGGGCATTGTCGTTGACGTCAGAGACCTTTACTGTTATGGTGTGCTGGGTTGTGAGCCTGGGTGTGCCCATGTCGCTGACTGTGATGGTGATGTTGTACTCAGATCTGCTCTCTCTGTCCAATGGGCCTTCTGTTACCAAAGTGTAGAAATTATCTCCATTAGGTTTCAAGAGGAAAGGAAGTTGGCCTTGGATAGAGCAAATCATTTTCCCGTTCTCTCCAGAGTCTGGATCTGAAATTCCAAAGACGGCGACTACAGTCTCAGGAGAATTTTCTGGAACATCACTGATGAGTAATGACATGGTGAGGTCAGGGGCGTTGTCATTTACATCGGTCATGTCTATTACTACCGTGCATTTTCCTGAAAGACCTCCCCCATCAGAGGCCTCGACTTCCATGCGGTAAGACTGAATTTCCTCAAAGTCCAATAGTTTTCTTACTCTAATTTCTCCGGTGTCTGGATTTATTTCAAAAGCCCGAAGCACCTGATTTGAGGATTGAAAAAGCGAATAGGACAGCTCTCCGTAGACCCCAGCGTCTAAATCTCTCGCGGACACGGTGATAACAAGTGAGCCTACGGGGCTTTTCTCCTGAACCTGCACCTCATAGAGCCCCTGGGCAAATTCGGGGGCATTGTCATTAATGTCCAGGACCATGATGAGAACCTGGGTAGTCCCAGTCTTGGGAGGTGTCCCGCCGTCCAGAGCCGTGAGTGTTAATCTAACCTCTGCCTGCTCCTCCCGGTCCAGTGCTTTGTCTAGCACCAGCTCAGGGTATTTCCTGCCATCGTTGTGATTGCGGGTGAGAAGGTGGAAATGGGAGTTGATACTGATTGTATAGTTCTGAACTGTGTTGCTACCTACGTCCAAATCTTGAGCTATTTTCAGTGGAAACTTGGTCCCTGGATGGCTACTTTCCAGGATTTTAAGGAGAATTTCATTTTCCGTGAATTCTGGAGCATGGTCGTTTACATCTTGGAGCTGTATTTCCCCTTGAATAAATTGCACTGGGCTCTTTAGTAACACTTGGAAATATAGGATGCACGGGTCCGTGCTCTCACATAACTCCTCCCGGTCCAATTTCTCTTTCAGAACCAAATTCCCACTCTTCTGTTCCAGCTGCAAGAGTTGTTTGTTCCCTTTGTTAAGAATCTGGGCGCCCCTGATGACCAGATCCCTTAAGCCCAACCCCAAATCTTTTGCCAGGTTGCCCACCAAAGAGCCCCTGTCTGTTTCCTCTAGAATGGAATACTTAACGGTCTCACTGCCTGCCTCCCACAATAGGAAAAGAAAGACAATGGCGGTCACTTGCCTTTCCTGTAGTGCCTTGTAAAGTGGTGTCTTCATCGTTCCTCAGGTCCAAAAGAAGCAGCAGTTAATCACACAAGAATTGCTCTGTGAGCAACTCAGGAATCTTGGCTCAATAATTTTGAGCTTCTTTTCTTTGTGACATTGCTGGACGTGGTGTATCTGCCTCTCTGAAAGGATCTATCGGCAGAAATGTTAAAAAGCTCCCCTTCTCAGTGGCAAATGGCTCTGCTTTTACAGTCTTGCAGGCTGCAGGTTTTCGTTTCTTAGCCTGCAGCGCCACCAAGCGTTCTGCTTTACAACTTCAGATAATTTTGTTTCAAAGTGCTCTGTAAAGGCTAAAGCACTCTCCATAGAGGTCAAAGTGTCCTATTCTCTCCTTCCTCTTTCCCCCAACCCTCATTTGACAGCCCTAAGATAGCTAATCTGCGTGAGAGAAAAGTATCTTCTTAAATATATCTTCATAAAGGCACAGTCTCATTACAGAAAGCTCTGCAGAGACTGCCAATCATTTAACAATTGTTTGTACAAGTATTCATTCAGCTTCTGACCATGGAGGACACACAAATTTTTTTTTTGGACCTGGAAGACGTTTCATTTTATTATAAAATTTACTAACTTTTTTGTTTGTAAGTAAAAATATTATTAAAATTCCAGCTTCTAACTTCCAAATGGCAATGTGCCTATAACTCATGAAGAAAAAACTAAAAGGTGATTTTTGTTTGTTTATCCTCCCTGTGGTGTGCAGTCTTAGAAGCTTCCATTCATAAATGTGCCCTATGTGATGACCAATAAAATTTAATGGAGATATCACTTATAAGTTCTTTAAGTAGTCAGCTCTGGCTCAGAGTTTAACTGTCTTTTCTACAAAGAAGAAGAAAAAGATAATGAAGTCAATGAAGTAGAAATGAAGGATTTTGAGCTATGAGCCTTGGGAAGGTGGCCTTTGACTGTGGAAACTGTGTAACTGAACAACACTGAAGTTCCAAATAGAACTGTGTGGTTGGAATGAATGAAGTAAAAGCCGCAGGGCGCTGGTGGTGCACACCTTTAATCCCAGCACTCAGGAGGCAGAGGCAGGCGGATCTCTGTGATTTTGAGGCCAAGAGTCTGGTCTACAGAGCAAGTTCCAAGGCAGCTAGGACTGTTACACATAGAAATCCTGCCTTGAAAAAAAAAGAAGAAGCAAAACCCGCTCCCCTAAGAAAAAGGAGGTTATTGAAGGACAGGGCAAGTATTCCAGAATCCCAAAGAGAAAATGCTTCCTTTGGCCATTATAGTTCACCTTGATTAAGGTTGAAGGTAAATATTCACCAAGCACCTTAATATAATTTGCCTTCCTTTGATGGAAATTTGAAAGGAGCCTTTTTCATAAGATATTGGCAACTGTAACCTACAAAACAAGACCAGGAGTGCAAGTGGCTTTAGTCAGAGAATGCTGGGGGAGAAAATAGGGATACTCAAGAAAGTAAAACTTGGATTTGACAAAATAACTTTGAACTCTCAAACCCTTCGACAAAAACAAGGTAAAGTGTGCTCTCCTGAATTTATGCTCAGCAGTAGAATGTAGAGTGTGCAGAAAGATGTTTGCTGTGTTGGAGGACAGAAGACAATCTCAGTAAGTGATATAGTTTAACATTTCACATGACTGTAATTAAAAGAAAAACTCCACTCATCAGAAAAATCACATTGTTGTAGAAAGGAATTTAGAATTTCTTTGTAGAAAATGTGTGTGTGTTTTTTTTTTAAAAAAGGACTGTTGTATGGTTCAGCAAATATTTATTCAGCATTTGTAAATACCTTGATGCTAAAAGACCACACTGTTCTTACACAAGGTTCACTAACTACTGATAGCTTAGTAAAATTTATATTTAAGAAATACATTAATTACTAAGATATACTAAAATATAATTATGGCTAATTAAGGTGTGTGCATTAGCATTTAGATTTTTATATTTAGAGGTTCACATGATAACTAGTTACCACCAAATGAGACTAAATTTGCAAAATTCAGCAATATCATTCACATTTAAAACATTCCTACACACTAATAGGGCAATTAATTTAATCATTTGTTTGAAATGTAATCTCAAAGGCTTTACATGATAATATATTTAAAAGATTATTTGATTTCAGATTTTACTAAAAATACTTTTTATTTAAGTTGCCAAATACAGGTTAGTGCCTCTAATTTAAATACAGCTATGAAGTGTAATCGAGAAGCTTGTGGAATCTCCAGAAACTGACCATTTAAAATACAGATTTGGCTGGGCAGTGGTGGGGCATTCCTTTAATTCCATTACTTGGCAGGCAGAGGCAGGCAGATCTTTGAGTTCAAGGACATCCTAGTCTACAGAGCTAGTTCCAACCAGGGCTACACAGAGAAACCATGTCTTGAAAAAAAGGGTACAATCTCACGAATAATAGCAACAGGGCAAGCCAGATGAGACATTATGACTGAGGTCTCTAATCATAGTACTAAGGGGACAGAGTCAGGTGGGTCTCTCTGTGTTCCAGGCCAGACAGTTCTACATAGCAAGATCCAGACTACCATAGTCTACAGAGTGAGACCACATCTCAAAAATAGAAAAAATAAACAAACAAACAGGTTGACAATTTAGATCTATGTTTATTTTGCCTAACATGCTTGAGACACCGGATTCCAGTTCCAGGAACTAGTATAAGATGTAATACAATAAGCCTCGGCAAACATATACCAACAGCATGCACATTCAGCTTAAAAGCTCTTTAGTAGGTTAAACAGAATTTACTACTACACTACAGTATTTAGAGGAAAAGGAAGCTATTCCGAAGTGTAGGACTTTCCTCTGTTTTCCTCTCAGATTCCAAAGTAGGAAATTGGGGGTTAATTGCCTTTAGAAATTTGAACTCACCAGTCCCAGATTCTCCCCCCAGGCAAACCTCATACTGGTAGCTCTGTGACAGGGTTCCTGTGCCATTGATATCCACCAGGTGACCAGGAAAGTGGCCCTCAGGCAAAGAGCAGCCACCCAGAGCGGATGCCCTGGCCCTCCTGCACAGCCTCGTTCCCACAAACAGCAGCACTGACAAGAGAAAGAGCGAAGACACAGACGCCAAGGCAATGACCAGGTACAGCGTGAGCGCATCCTCATCCTGAGCGGGTTCTTGCACAACCTCTGGCAGAGGCAGGTAGGGCTGAGAGAAGCCATCCACCAGCAGCACATGCAGAGTGACACTGGCAGACCGCTGAGGATCGCCATTGTCCTTGACCAGCAGCAGCAGCCTGTGCTTGGGAGCATCGCGCTCACTCAGCAGCCTGGAGGTGCGCACCTCGCCATTGTGAGCCCACACGCTGAACAGTCCGGGTTCCGTGGCCTTGAGCAGCTGGAACGACAGCCAGGCATTCTGGCCAGAGTCTCGATCCACAGCCACCACCTTGGTGACCAGATAGCCTGGCTCTGCCGCCCTGGGCAGCAGCTCTGTGAAGGGCGCAGAGGCGTTCTGCAGCGGGTAGAGCACAAAGGGCGCATTGTCGTTGGCGTCCAGCACCAGCACGCGCACCAGCGCCTGGCTGCTGAGCGCGGGCGAGCCTTGGTCTGTGGCGCCCACGCGGAACTCGAAGGCCTGCAGGGCCTCATAGTCCAGGGCCCTGAGCGCGAACAGCTGTCCATTGTCGGCATTGATGGAGATGAGCGAGGAGAGATCCAGCTGCGGGTCGTGAGTGGGCAGCAGCGAGTAGGTGATGTGGGCATTGGAGCCTGAGTCTGAGTCTGTGGCGCTGATGGTGCCTATGTGCAGGGCGGGGCTGTTGTTCTCTTGGACAAACAGGGTGTAGGAGCTTTGTGTGAAGGCGGGGGCATTGTCGTTGACGTCAGAGACCTGCACTGTTATGGTGTGCTGGGTTGTGAGCCTGGGTGTGCCCATGTCGGTGACTGTGATTGTGATGTTGTACTCAGATCGGCTCTCTCTGTCTAGTGCCCTATCTGTTTCCAAAGTATAGAAATTCTCCACGGATGGTCTTAGAAGAAATGGAAGATTGTCATCTATGGAGCACATAACCTCCTGGTTATTTTCCGAGTCTGCATCTGAAACGCTGAACACTGCTACTATGATACCTGGCAAATTTTCAGGGATGGGGCTGTTGAGAGAGGATAGGATCACTTCCGGGGCATTGTCATTCACATCCAATACCTGCACGACTAAAGAGCACTTTTCTGTTAGCCCACCGCCATCCACGGCCTCAACACCCACATGGTAGGACTGAAACGCTTCAAAATCCAAGGCGCTCCTCAGTCGAATTTCTCCTGTCTTTGAGTTTATTACAAAAGGCTCGTTAACATCGTCATCTTGAAACAGTGCATAAGAAACCTCTCCAAAGGATCCTGTGTCTAAATCTCTCGCTGAGACGGTAAGAAGCAGTGTACCAATGGGGTTGTTCTCAGGGACTTGGACCTCATAGAGTTCCTGAGCAAACTCCGGAGTGTTGTCATTTATATCTAAGACAAGTATTTGAATGTCTGTGGTCCCTGACCTGGGGGGAGACCCGCCATCCACCGCAGTGAGCGTTAGTCTGAGCTGAGCCTGCTCCTCACGGTCCAATGCCTTGTCCAACACTAGCTCGGGGAACTTCTTGCCATCGCTGCGGTTACGAGTGAGTACGTGGAAGTGACGGTTGTCGCTGACATTGTAGCTCTGAATGCTGTGGCTGCCGGTATCTGGGTCCTGTGCCATTTTCAAAGGGAGTATCTTTCCTGGCTCAGTTATTTCTGATATTTTAAGGAGCACCTCTCTGGCAGGAAACTCTGGGGCGTGGTCGTTTATATCTATAACCCTCAGTGCCGCCTGGTAAAACCGCACAGGATTGTTTAGTAACACCTGGAAAGGTAGCATACAAGGCTCCGTGGAGCCACACAGCTCTTCCCGGTCCAGCTTTTCATTGAGCACCAAATCCTGGGTTTGTGGGTCAAGCTTCAGATACTGTCTGTTCCCCTTGAAAACCACTCTGGCGCCCCTAGCAGCCAGTTCTCCCATCCTTAGTCCCAAGTCCTTAGTCAAATTGGCCACAAACGTGCCACTTTCTGTCTCCTCCGGCACGGCATAGTGAATTGATTCTGAACCCACCTCCCATGAAAGCATCCATGCAATTAAAATCATCACTTGCCTTGTCTTGCACCACGCCTTTGTTTGTGGCATCTCTACTGATACAGGCGGGAAAATCCCTTTCAGGTCTTTATCACGGAGGTAACTTTGGCCTTCCGGAAAGTCTCTGTTGTGAAATTTTTGGATTTGGTCTTACACGTTCCCGGTGACCCCTCTTCTCCGGAGTGCTTTTGTCTTAGCGGCAGTAGCAAATGGTTCCGTATTTTGCTTCAGTTTCCAGGCGATACGGGGCTTCCAAGACTTCTTATTCGTTCTCTTAGCCTACACCGCCACCATGCGTTCAAATCAATAACTTCATGAGATATTTTCAAACACGGAACACCGACAGAACATTATGAAGACTTTTATACAAATCTAAGCATTACAAAGACTTTTAAGTTGAGTCATTGTTTCTCAAAATAACAGTGTAAAGGAGTTATTAGGGGTCTTTCTTGAGGGTGCATGCTTGTGTTCTGTTTTGTAAGTTGGTTTTCAAGCTCATTCTAGATCTTGAGTCAAATTGACTGCTGATGTAAAGGAACACCTAAGAATCACTCTTCTGGCCACGGAAACTTCCCACAATCAGCTATGAATTCTTTAACAGTGCAACTGATCTCTGATGAGTTCTATAAAGTCACGAGTTTATGAGGAACACTCTTTAATTGTCTCATTAAGCACACCAACAAATTATTAAAACGTAAAAGTTGGTCAGAAACATAAATGTTGAACTAAACATTGAGTTCCCTAAAATACATGAACAACAGACTTTGTTACTAGGCCACGTGAGAACAGTAATGGTAGTCATAAGGCTATTGAGGAGAAAACCGTAGCCAAAAAGTGATAGCAATATCTAAATAACATTAATAATTTAAAATGGGAATTAGGAGCAATTGCTATTTGCCATAAGAACGTTTAAGATTTAATTTTATTCCTAAGTGAGTAGACTTGGTCATGGTTTTAGAGATCCATGTGTTTTACTGTAACTTTTCATTCGACAAGATGTCCTCATGTCATTTGACTGAAGACCAAAATTGTTGTAAGAGATGGCAGGATGCAGAAAATGACATTCAAGGACGCACAGTGGCACTCAGTTGTAATGCCAGAATGAGGGAGTCTGAGACAGAAGGATAGCAAGCATGAAACAAGAAAGACTGCATCTCAATAAACAGCAAACAGAAATGCAGATAACGTGAAAGGGGTTGCATTTAAATATACCACGGAATCCAATGACAGAACATCACAGCTAGACTATAACGGAATATGTTACTCTCTTGTCCTTTTCTGAGCAGATAAGTTGGAAAGTGTCCTTACATATCATTTAAAATGTGAGTGAGTACACATTCAAGAACTTAATATATGTTAGATTTAATTGATTTCTGATGGAGTTTGCATTTATTTAAGATGAGTTTTATTAAGGTCAAGAAAACTTTACTTCACATAAGACCCAAGACAATAGGAGACGGGAATTTAGAATATATTTTAAAAATTTCTAAGTGAAATAAATAAAATTTAAATCTGATTGCTGAAACCATCTTATGACTAGAAATCACATGTGCACATCCAGTGAAACAAAGAGAATGAGAACATCAATATCCCACTCCTCCAGGTTTACTAGAAAACCATTACTGAGTGCGGACATTCCGTGAGCCTGTGAAAAAATGGAACTCATGGAGTAAAACCAACAGCCATAAAGACTGTGGATGGGTTTTGCCATCTCAAAATAGTTTCTAAATGTTCCTTCTGAATGGTGTCAGTTAGTCATTGTTGGTTGGGTTGGCCGGAGGACCACCGACAAGATTGGTAAAGCTCACCCCCTGCAGTGTCTATGAGGGATTCCCTAGAGGGACTGAGGAGAGAAGTTCACACTGCATGTGGGTGGCACCATCCCATAGACTGGAGTCAGAATCAGAGCAGGAAAAGGAGAAAGAGCACCAGGTAAGCAATCTCTACTCTAGGTTCTCACCACCTTGATGGGCGCTGGTCCTTCCGTGATGAGCAGAAACCCTGGGTCAAAACAAACACTTCCTCCCTTGTTTTCTTTCACATTTTGTCCCAGCAGTGGGAGGTCTGATTAACAATGGGAGGGTCTGAGCTCTGACTCCAATTTAATGACATACTTATGCCCCAAAGCCTTTATTCACTCTCTGGGGCTACAGTAGCACCAGGTGTCCTCAAGTGTGGCTTATAGAATATTCCTGACATCAAAACAAATTTTTATCAGCATTACAGCATGTGATAAACTCAATTTAGGCAAAGAAATTTTTTTAAAAAAGCATTGGTACTTATGTGAGAAAGTTAGTATCTTAATATTACTCCCAAAAGGTACCTGTTGAGAGTGTCAAAAGACTCCATTTTATAGAAATTACATTTTACAGAGAATTACGTAAGATCCTCAGAGAAGAGTGCATCACTGCTTGCTCTCTTTTTCTTTTAAATAGAATTGAGTTGAATTTACTTCCCCAAACATGTATCCACAAGGAGATAAACATTGTTGTCATGAGAAATGTCTAACAAAAAAGGGAAATGAGATAAACTTCTACATAAACATCACTTAGATTTAAAACATTACCTTGAATCCTTTAGGATTTCCCTTCTGCTCTGCTGCCAGCAAATACTTGCTTTCCTGTGGCCCCTTTAGAGTCTTCTCTCATATAATGGATCCTGAACAGTTTCCCTTCCCTCCACTCCTCATTGCTTCCCCCACTTCCCCTCTCCCCCAGATCCACTCCCCACTTTCCCATCAGAAAAGAACAGGCCTTCAAGAGACAACAACCAAACACAACAAAACAAGATACAATTAGTCAAGGCAAAATCTCTCCTATCAACTTTGCTGGACAGCAACCCAGTAAGAGAGAAAGGGTCCAAAGAGCAGGCAAAAGAGTCAGAGACACCCCACCTACTCTTATGAGTCCCACAAAACAGTGAACTAACAGCCATAACATACACAGAGGACCTAGAGCAGATCCTTGCAGGTTCTGTGCCTGGCACTTAAGACTCTGAGAACCCATATGCGCCCTTCTTGGTTAATACAGTGGGCCATGTTCTCAGGGTGTCCTCCATCCCTTCTGACTCCTACATTCTTTCCTCTTCCTTTTCTGTAGGGTTTCTCTAGCTCTGAGCACCAAGATGACCCAATTACACCCATTTCTTAAGGCAACATTTTCAGAAATTAAAAATTACCAACTTTGACCATCTTAACAACTGTGGGATGTTGGCAAGTTTTAGGATGAAACAGGTGTAAAAGAAAAAAGAATGCTATTCATCAAATTCATTTAAAAAATGAACTGTTACTAATGAAACACTAAAAGAGGCTTTGGTTTAATCAGAGCAATAACCAATGCAGTGGCATTTCTCAGAATGCAAACTTGAGGTCATGTTAAGTGTGCCACTTAGTGTATGTAATTAGCAATTATGACAGAATAAAGGTTATGAAAAATATGTAGTGGACTAAGGCTGACAACACAAAATTGGGAAATTAGATTAAGTGAACTTATTCACTCTTCTAAAATCTGGAAGCTTAAGATGAAAGGATTGGCAGGGATAATTTTATTGTGTGGTTTCTGGTTTTTCCTCACAGTTGCTTTCTTCTGGTATCATCACGTGATTGACATCTGTGTTCTCTCTCCCTTTTTTCCTCCTCTCTGCTCTACCTTTATTCCTCTCTAAACTTTTGTTCAAGTCACCAGATACCTTCTAATTAAATTCTAGCTTAACTACATATTGTAATATAACAGTCTCATTAGAAGTTTTATCTCTACTGGGCGTGGTGACACACAACTTTAAACCCAGCACTTGGGGGGCAGAAGCTGGAGGATCTCATTGTGAGTTCAAGGCCAGTCTGGTCTACATAATGATTTTCAGGTCTTCCAGGACTATAAGGTAAAATCACTCCTCAAAAAGAGAAGTTATATTAAAAAAAGAGAGAAGTTATAAAGTCCTTTTTAAATAGTACCAGCTTTCATGGTCATGTGTACCAGAGCTTAAATATATTAATCTTGGGGTGCTAACCATTCAGTTGATGATAGTTAAAAGCATTTGTTAGGAATAAATAACATTTTCTTAGTTAAAAGGAACTTTCAAAAGGTCTTAAAGTACTTTTGAGCTGGGAAGTTGATGGGTAAAAGCACTTGACGACACAGGCATGAAGACCCTGGTTTTAATTCTGAGAACTCACATAGGACCTGACACTCAAGGCAGAAACATCTATATTTCTCAGTTCTCCTTTATGGAGACAGGAGGCAGTCACAAGAGAATCTCTAGAATCTCTGGGGCCATCTAGGCTTGTGTGTACAGCAGGAAACAGCAATGGGACCCTGCCTGAAATTAGGTAGAAGACTTGCCCAAGATTGTCTTCTGACCTCCACAAATGTCTTGTGTTCCAAACATACCTGCAATGTAGACACAAACACAAACACAATGGTTGCAATGATTTAAATCAAGAGAATGCCGTGAATCAGCTTGCACTTTCAATTTAGCATCAAGTAGATAGTCAAGACAATGGCCAGAATGCACAGAAAATAAACCAATATTTGATCTTTATTAAGGCAAACTTCACCACAGGTGAGCCTGTTGATGGATGCTCATAATCCCAACACTTAGGGCAACAGAAGCAGTCTGATCACCATGAACTTTCCATCAATCTGTACAAAGCCATTCCAGATCAGCAAGACCCTATGTCAAATAACCAAACAAAATAAGGCTCCACTAACAAAAAAGTTCTAATTTGTTACGGCAAGTACTAGTTCTAAAAAAGAGCAAAAATAGAGTGAAAAGGGAGCTCAGCATGCATTGGTAGGGCATAGAAATATACACAAACACAATGAAGTAGAATTAAACTTTCTCTTATAGTATGAAACTTGAACAGACAAATCCAAATGAAAGGAGAAATTAAATCTATATCTCAAGGGGATGTCTCTCTGTACTCTACATCAGGGTTAGTCATGATAAACGAGGTGAACATCACTTCAAAATAATCGCTCTAATAGAATCCAAAACTATTGCGCACAACAGCATTTTCTCTTTCAGCATTTTCTCTTTCTTCAGCAGCCGCCTGGCTCTGAAGGTTAGGAAATAATGGCTTAAGAAATTTAAACTCATTTGTTCCTGTACCTCCTTTCAGGTACACCTCATACTGATAGCTCTGGGATAAGGTTCCTGAACCACTGACATCCATCAAGTGACCAGGGATGGGTCCTTCAGGCACAGAGTATCCACCCAGAGAGTCTGCCCTGGCCCTCCGGCACAACCTCACCCCCACAAACAGCAGCACAGATAAGAGAAAGAGCGAAGACACAGATGCCAAGGCAATGACTAAATAGAGTGTGAGCAAGTCATTATTATCCTGCGCGGGGTCGCGCGCCACCTCTGGCAGAGGCAGGAAGGGCTGAGAGAAGCCATCCACCACCAGCACCTGCAGAGTGACACTGGCAGACCGCGGAGGATCGCCATTGTCCTTGACCTGCAGCAGCAGCCTGTGCTTGGGTGCATCGCGCTCACTCAGCAGCCTGGAGGTGCGCACCTCGCCATTGTGAGCCCACACGCTAAACAGCCCTGGCTCTGTGGCCTTGAGCAACTGGAATGACAGCCAGGCATTCTGGCCAGAGTCGCGGTCCACTGCCACCACCTTGGTGACCAGGTAGCCTGGCTCCGCTGCCCTGGGCAGCAACTCTGTGAAGGGTGCAGAGGCGTTCTGGAGCGGGTAGAGCACGAAGGGTGCATTGTCGTTGGCGTCCAGCACCTGCACGCGCACCAGCGCCTGGCTGCTGAGCGCGGGAGAGCCTTGGTCTGTGGCGCCCACGTGGAACTCGAAAGTTTGCAGGGTCTCATAGTCCAGCGACCTGAGCGCGAACAGCTGCCCGTTGTCGGCATTGATGGAGATGAGCGAGGAGAGGTCCAGCTGTGAGTCGTGGGTGGACAGCAGCGAGTAGGTGATGTGGGCATTGGAGCCTGAGTCTGAGTCTGTGGCGCTGATGGTGCCTATGTGCAGGGCGGGACTGTTGTTCTCTTGGACAAACAGGGTGTAGGAGCTTTGTGTGAAGGTGGGGGCATTGTCGTTGACGTCAGAGACCTGCACTGTTATGGTGTGCTGGGTTGTGAGCCTGGGTGTGCCCATGTCGCTGACTGTGATGGTGATGTTGTACTCAGCTCTGCTCTCTCTGTCCAGTGCTCCCTCTATCACTAAAGTGTAATAGTTCTTGAAAGTGGGTTTTAAGAGAAATGGGAAATCGTTCAGAATAGAACACACCATCCTTCCGTTGTCCCCAGAATCTGCGTCAGAAACACTGAAAACAGCAACTACAGTCTCTGGTGAGTTTTCTGGGATAGGGATTGTGAGCTTTCTGATAGTCAGCTCAGGGGCGTTGTCATTCACATCCAACACCTGTACAGCCACAGTGCATTTCCCCGAAAGGCCTCCTCCATCCGTGGCTGCGATTTCTATGTTATACTGGCTAGTAACCTCGAAATCCAACTCTTCCCTCAGACGAATTTCTCCTGTGATGTCGTCTATAATAAATGGCTGAGAGGCCCCACCACCTTGAAACAGAGAGTAGGCTACACTCCCATGAGGTCCCACATCTAAATCCCTGGCAGAAACTGCCACAACTAAGGCACCAAGGGGGCTGTTCTCAGGGACTTGAACCTCATAGAGCGACTGTACAAACTGGGGAGCGTTATCATTGATGTCCACGACTTCAATGCGAACTGTGGTGGTCCCAGACCTGGGAGGAGACCCTCCATCCACAGCAGTGAGGGTTAAAGTGAGCTCAGGCTGCTCCTCCCTGTCCAGTGCTCTGTCCAGCACCAGCTCTGGGTATTTCCTGCCATCAGCACGACTGTGAGTAACGACATGGAAGTGGAGGTTGGGGCTGACTGTGTAGTTCTGAACAGCATTGCTGCCTATGTCAGGGTCCTGAGCTGCCTTCAGAGGAAACACAGTCCCTGGCTGGACGTTCTCTGGGATCTTTAGGAGCATTTCCCTGTGTGGGAACTCTGGAGAATGGTCGTTTATGTCTGTGAGCTGCAGGTCAGTTTGGAAGAACTGCACAGGTTTTTCCAGTATGAGCTGGAAGTGCAGCACACAGGGTTCTGTCGCCCCACACAGCTCCTCGCGGTCCAGTTTTTCCTTCAAGAACAAATTCCCTGTCTCTGCATCCAGCTGCAAGAGCTCTTTGTTTCCTTTGTAATGGATTTGCGCCCCTCTGGTGGCCAGTTCCCCCACCTTGAGCCCCAAATCTTTTTCCAGATTAGCCACCAGGTAGCCAGTCTCCATTTCTTCTGGCATGGAGTATCTAATTGCCTCAGAACCAGCCTCCCACATAAGCAACAATATAGTAAGAAAAATGACTTGCCTTTTCTCTGGTGATTTTGCTAGAGCTGTCTCCATTGTTCAGATGTAGTCCAGAGGGTGCTGCTTCTTCAAGTCGATTACAATCCACTAATGGGGGTTCGTAAAAATATTGAACTATATCTGATTAAAAAGGCGCCTCATCCCAAATTCTCCAGACACCTTTCTTATTACCTTCTCCTTCAAACAGCCGCCAAAGTACTGGTTCACAGATTAAAGAGATGGCGTCCTGGGCGGCTGCAGAGTTCTTTCTTCAGAATCTTAGCCTGCAGCGCCACCAAGCGTCCTTATTTGTTCATGCATTTCATTTTCAAATTTGTTTCCAAATTTGAACTGTGATGTGGTTCAATATCCTTTTAATTACACACACAGCCTAAACTGTAAGTTCAGTTCTTAACAATTGGAAATTCTAAATATGATTTTTGCTGAATTATGTTTTGGTTGTAAGTATAAATTTTAGAGCAACTTAAGAACATTAAAGTTTTGTCATAAGAGTACCAAGTAGATGAATCAGGTTTCTTGTGTAGATTTATAACTTGATTTTGTGCAAGAAACTAAAGTAAATAGATGCATAGAGAAATTAATTTACACTTTTTATAGATGTTTGTAATATAACATACACCCAGAAAGGGAGAAAATCTCAATTGTATAACCTATTGAGCTTTTATAATGTTTTTTAGTTCAGTTTAGATAAAAATAAAATGGGAAAAAGTCCAAGATAACCAAGACTGCTATTGTTTGGTTACTTTGCTCCTTGAAAAATAAGCATTTTGCATATATTTTGCTTAGTAGTGTACTAAGACCACCAAAGCATGAGCGTTCCAGTTGCTTCATATCCTTGTTAACATTAGTGTTGTAGTCTCAGTTTTGGTGTTTGTCTGGTGACTTCACACCTAAATTCAACTAGCATTTGTCTGCACACTTTCATGTTGACTGACATCAGGATAGAGTCTTGTGACGAGCATGTTTATCTCTGATATGGGGCTTCTACTTGTTTGCTTGTTGGTATGAAGAAGTATTTTGTATAATCTGTGTAATCTCTTTTTCAGATATATATGCTTAAATATTTCCCGCACCATGCCTTGAATTTTGTTGATATTGTGACTTGATCAATAAAACATCTTGTTTAGTTTGATCTGGCAATACATTTTAAAAATTTGTTTAGTACTTTTAGATTTTCTTAATTTCAAGATAAAATATGTGTATATTTTGAATGTTTTCTTTTGCTGTATAAACCTATTGATTTAAAATATGTCTTGGATGAAATAAGTTGGAGCTCTTAATTTCTTTTACATCATGTTACAAACAGATGCACCCTCTTCTCAGGGTTATTGCTGTCCTAAATCAGGTGGTTGCAGGTCTGCCCCAGTGCTCCAGTTTCTCTCTGATGGTCACATAACGCTCTGTTGTCTTCATTACTCCAGAGATGAAAGTCTCCTTTTTAAGTATGTTTGTTTTTAATGTGTATGTGAATAAATATCAAAAGAGTGTGAATGTCCTTGAAGAGGTGTTGGCTCTCTGAGAGCTGGAGTGAAGGCAGCTGTAACCCCCCGACAAAGGGAGGCTGCTGAAAACTGGACTGAGATCCACCTGATCTTAACTGCTGAGCCAACTCTTCAAGAATTAAAAGATTTGTCTTGCAATAATTTCATGTATTTCATATAGACATGCATTCCATCCATTAATTCTGTATCCCTTTATATTTCCGTGAACTTTTACCATTCATGTAGCTTTATGAAACATATGTTTTTGTTACAGAATTGACATTGAGTCTTAAATATCAATTGTCTATTTATTTGCTCAGTCATCCTTTTTTTCAAAAATATTAACCATTTTATTTTGATGACATTGTTGCTTTATTCTAGCAATGCATCTTCTAGGTCATTGTGTTAGGTTTTCTCCTCTTGTTCTTCTTTATATTGCCCAGTTTTGTGGTGTGCACCTACTGATTGTTGGTACGATGTAAAGTCTGCCCACAGTCATGATGCTGTTATCCTCTTCCAGGAGGAGCTCACCCTTTGCTCTTGGTTTGACAGAGCTCTACCTCCTACAGTCACGCCAACTCAAACAGGCACCAAACTTGGTCAGGATTCTCTAATGTCCTTAAAAGCAAGTAATTTGGGCAAATTTTAAGTTACAAACATGAATTCTCTACATCAGCTCTGCCAGGTGGTTCCCAACCTATAATCTTTGTAGTTTGTACAAAATCTCATTCTGCCTTCAGTGGGTTTCCAAATTATTTTTTTGTCTTCTTTCCTGGACTTCTGAGTTGACAAGTGTCCTGGGCAGGAAAACTGACCCTAGCTCAAGTTTTCCGTGCTATCAGAGGCGAATTAATTATGGTGTCTGTGTAAAAACCTGTTGATTGTTAGTCAGTTTTATGGTTGTTTTTCTGATGTCAGATAATCCATCTAGGTTGGAGGGAATTCTACCAAGCATATGCATAATCTTTAACTTCATATTTTAAAATATTGGACTTTTGTAATATTCAACCATGAAGGAAGAGGGATATATTTTTTCTTCCTAATGCTGGGGAGATTGATCCTATTAGGCAAATGTCCTACTGTTGGGCTACACCAACAGAATTTGGCTTCTTTCAGTTCAGGCTGACATCTTGAGTATTGGATACTTAGTTCAGGCTGGTATGCTGAGAACTGGACACTTAGTTCAAGCTGGTATCCTGAGTAATGGGCACCACACCAGAAGAGGAGTCTTGGCACGTAACTGGCAGATTGTTAAAGTTGTTTTTCATATTGAGACTTACATATATGTTTGTATTTACTTTTTATTACTTTTACCTCTTTCTCATTTCAATTTTAAAATTGGATAACCAAAATTACATTTCGAGGATGAGGGGTGATCATCAATTTTCATTCTATATTTCATTACTTCATTATGGGAGGAAACATTAATTCAGAGAAAGATGCAAACACTTAAACTCTATGGGAATGACATTTGATATTTAAAAACAACAAAATACAAACATGATCAATCTGTATACATTTGTTACATGCATGGAAAATTTATAAGGGAATCCATCTCTTTGTACAATGAATGTATACTAAATAAAAACTAAAACATGTAAAGATATTATATTGTATACCAAATTCTTCACTTGTTCATATTTTGGAGAAAGCTAAATATTCCTGCAGTTGTACTTTCTGGAAATCACATAATAAGCTTACTTGGTTCATTTAACATAAGTTAATTATAATTCAGTTTAATTCATTATAGTTCAAATCAATTAAGAACCAAAACAGGCAGCACAATTGAAACATTAAATTGACTGAGGATACTTCAAAGTTACACCAGATAACCAAACAAGTGATAATTAAATATCACAAAAAGAACTGCTTTGCTTTCCATAGCTACCAAACAATATAAAATGAAAAGTATCAGAACTGATAACCAGAATCAAATAAAATACTGAAATTTCCAGAGTCTTTTGAAAGGGGAAGAGGAGCTGCAGGAAAGCCAAAGGAAACATATGTACCAGAGACAGGGCCACAGTGAACATCCTAGAATGCACAAGTCTGAGTGTGGTTTCTGATACGATTTAACCATGCATGCTGTCTTAGGTACATTTCCTATTTCTAGGGTAAAATAGGAAGGGTGTTTGGCAGGAAGAGGAGAGCAAAGAAGGCTTGTGCTCAGCCCACTTTCTTCTCTTCATATAGTCCAGAATCTTAGCCTAGGGAGTGGTGCCTCCCACCATAGTCTTTCTCCTCAATTTCCCTAAGCATGATACTCCTTCATAGGTGTGCCCAGAGGTCAGGTGGGTCTAGACCTCAAGGTCACAGCTGAGACGAACAGAAAACCCCAAAGCGCTCCATTCACACCTTTATTACTAAGACAAAGGGATAAAGTGAGATCATCAAAAGTCTTGATTCTTTGAAGGACTCGAGCGCTTACCTTGTACTATTCAGATTAGGTTTCAACCGCTATTGTGTCAAGCAATGATTTAATAGGTGGGGTCATTTGTCTGTTTGCCGGTTCCTTTCTGGAGCCTGGAAGTGTACCTAGAGCCTGGCATGCAAGCATGGTCTACCACGGATTAAACCCTCAGTCTGGAATACTTTTGTTTTGTGATAGAGGTGGCAAATTGTTAATATATAAGGTTATCCCTTTAATAGTTACAAAAGAATAGTCAAATGAATATTTATATAAAATGCGCTAGGTATGTGGTGGACAAATAATGCAATATATATGGTCCACAAAAGAAGGAAAATGTCACATTTCTAGTGTCTTGATATTTTAACAAGGGAATGATTATAATTGGAAGACAACTATGCTTGTTAGTAATGATTATAAGGAATTTCAGCTGTGAGTGAAGCTCACTAACAGACTGGATGATTAGCACATATGAGGTCTTAGATTTAATATCCAACAGCAATAACATAAAGCAAAAAAAAAAAAACGTAAACACCCTGGCCATAAAAACTTGAAATTTTGGGGTGAAAACAGTAAAGTAGTCAGCATGCGGGAGGCGGAGAGATGAATGTCTAACAGTTGGGAGGCTGGCTGAACTACACAGTGACTTCTAGAACAGCCAGAATTACATGGTGAGAACCTGTCTTTAAAAAAGAAAACCAAACAAGCAAACAAAAACAAAAACCATTCACATGCAAAACAGGGAAAGTAAATTCATTTTATTGCGTAATACTTGAGCTAAAGTTAAACATTAAGGTGAAATATAGAAAAATTTGTGTTCTTAATATTCACTATACCTGAAATAACTAAAAAGAGCAAGTAAGAAAAAAACCCACATTTTAGCCATGGAGAGCATGCATATGTTTCAATACAATGCCAATACTTTGATTAAAGTGACTCATTTTCTTAAGAGAACCATATTGTTAGAGATTTGCCAAAAAATAAATTCACTGAACTAGATACGACAGTTAGCTGAAGACAAAGCTATCCCTGCAGTGGGGACTTTCCTTGACTTCTCTCCCAGCATCCTGAAGCAGTAAGTTGGGAATCATGGGTTTGAGAAAACTGAACTCACCAGTCCCAGAGTCTCCAGTCAGACACATCTCATACTGGTAGCTCTGTGACAGGGTCCCAGCGCCGCTGACATCCACCAGGTGTCCAGGAAAGTGTCCCTCAGGCACAGAGCAGCTACCCAGCGAGGCTCCCCTGGCCCTCCTGCACAGCCTCACCCCTATGAACAGCAGCACAGACAAGAGAAAGAGCGAAGAAACAGACGCCAAGGCAATGACCAGGTACAGCGTAAATCTGTCCTCATTCTCTTGAGCTGGATCACGCTCCGCCTGGGGCAGAGGCAGGTAAGGCTGAGAGAAGCCATCCACCAGCAGCACGTGTAGAGTGACGCTGGAAGAGCGTGGAGGGTCACCATTGTCCTTGACCAGCAGTAACAGCCTGTGCTTGGGCGCCTCGCGCTCGCTCAACAGCCTGGAGGTGCGCACCTCGCCATTGTGAGCCCACACGCTGAACAGTCCAGGCTCCGTGGCCTTCAGCAGCTGGAACGACAACCAGGCGTTCTGGCCCGAGTCACTGTCCACCGCCACCACCTTGGTGACCAGGTAGCCAGGCTCTGCCGCCCTGGGCAGCAGCTCTGTGAAGGGCGCAGAGGCGTTCTGCAGTGGGTAGAGCACGAAGGGCGCATTGTCATTGATGTCCAACACCAGCACGCGCACCAGCGCCTGGCTGCTGAGCGCGGGCGAGCCTTGGTCTGTGGCGCCCACACGGAACTCGAAGCTCTGCAGGGCCTCATAGTCCAGCGCCCTGAGCGCGAACAGCTGCCCGTTGTCGGCATTGATGGAGATGAGCGAGGAGAGATCCAGCTGTGGGTCGTGCGTGGGCAGCAGCGAGTAGGTGATGTGGGCATTGGAGCCTGAGTCTGAGTCTGTGGCGCTGATGGTGCCTATGTGCAGGGCAGGGCTGTTGTTCTCTTGGACAAACAGGGTGTAGGAGCTTTGTGTGAAAGCAGGGGCATTGTCGTTGACATCAGACACCTGCACTGTTATGGTGTGCTGGGTTGTGAGCCTGGGTGTGCCCATGTCGCTGACTGTGATGGTGATGTTGTACTCAGATCTGCTCTCTCTGTCCAGTGGTCCCTCTGTCACTAAAGTGTAATAGTTCTCGAATGTGGGCTTCAAAAGAAATGGAAGATCGTTCTGAATAGAACACACCATCCTTCCATTGTCTCCGGAATCTGCGTCAGAAACACTGAAAACAGCAACTACAGTCTCTGGTGAGTTTTCTGGGATAGGGATTGTGAGCTTTCTGATAGTCAGCTCAGGGGCGTTGTCATTCACATCCAACACCTGTACAGCCACAGTGCATTTCCCCGAAAAGCCTCCTCCATCCGTGGCTGCGATTTCTATGTTATACTGGTTAGTTACTTCGAAATCCAACTCTTCCCTCAGTCGAATTTCTCCAGTGAATTTGTCTATTACAAATGGCAGAGAAACCCCACTGCCTTGAAACAGAGAGTAGACTACCTTTCCATTTATCCCAGCATCTAAATCCCTGGCAGACACTGTCAAAACTAAGGCATTAAGGGGGCTGTTCTCAGGGACCTGAACCTCATAGAGCGACTGTACAAACTGGGGAGCGTTATCATTGATGTCCACGACTTCAATGCGAACTGTAGTGGTCCCAGACCTGGGTGGCGACCCACCATCCACAGCAGTGAGGGTTAAAGTGAGCTCAGGCTGCTCCTCCCTGTCCAGGGCTCTGTCCAGCACCAGCTCTGGGTATTTCCTGCCATCAGCACGACTGTGAGTAACGACATGGAAGTGGAGGTTGGGGCTGACTGTGTAGTTCTGAACAGCATTGCTGCCTATGTCAGGGTCCTGAGCTGCCTTCAGAGGAAACACAGTCCCTGGCTGGGCGCTCTCAGGAATTGTTAGGAGCATTTCCCTGTGCGGGAACTCTGGAGAATGGTCGTTTATGTCTGTGAGCTGTAGGTCAGTGTGGAAGAACTGCACAGGGTTTTCCAGTATGAGCTGGAAGTGCAGCACACAGGGTTCTGTTACCCCACACAGCTCCTCACGGTCCAGTTTTTCCTTCAAGAACAAATTCCCTGTCTCTGCATCCATTTGCAAGAGCTCTTTGTTTCCTTTGTAATGGATTTGCGCCCCTCTGGTGGCCAGTTCCCCCACCCTGAGCCCCAGATCTTTTTCCAGGTTAGCCACCAGGTAGCCAGTCTCCATTTCTTCTGGCATGGAATATCTTATTGTCTTACATTCAGCCTCCCACAAAAGCAACAATATAGTAAGAAAAACGACTTGCCTTTTCTCTGCTGTTTTTGCTAGAGCTGTCTCCATTGTTCAGATGCAGTTCGTAGGGTGCTGCTTCTTCAGGTCAATTACAATCCACTCAGGAGGGTTTGTGAAAATATTGATCTAAATCTGAATAGAGAGACCCTTTCTTCCCAAATTCTCCCAGAAACCTTTCTTGTTACCTTCTCTTTCAAACAGCCGCCAAAGAACTGGTTCTTAGCTTAAAGAGATGGCGTCCTGGGCGTCTGCAGAGCCATTATTTCGGACTCTTAGCCTGCAGCGCCACCAAGCGTCCTTATTTGTTTGTGCATTTCAATTTGCCATTTCTTTCCAAATTTTAACTGAGTGTTTCAGTATTCTTTTAATTTATACATAGATATAATTTAATTCACAATTTTGTATATGTTTCTGATATGTGGCTGCTATTTGTTTGCGTGTTGGTCTGAAGAAATACCCCGTATATTCTGGATAATCTCTTTTCCGGATAGATATGCTCAAATATTTCCCACTCAATGCCTTGCATTTCATTGATATTGTGGCTTGATCAATAAAACATCTTGTGTTTAATTTGATCTGTTAATAATTTTCAAATTTGTTTAGTACTTTTAAATTTTCATAATTTAAGGTCATAAGAATATTGTGTATATTTTGAATGTTTTCTTTTGGCATATATATATTTATTCACTTTAAATATGTTTTGAATGAAATAAATTGGAGTTCTTGTTTTCCAAATGCCTTTATACCATGTTCCAAACAGACGCACTCCCTTCTGAGGGGTGATCACTGTCTTGAGTCAGGGTGGTTGCAGGTCTGCCCCAGTGTTCCAGTTTCTCTCTGGTGGTTATGTCTTCATTACTCTAGACTTACCATGGATTTTATTGAGATGAAAGTCTCCTTTTTGAAAAGAAGTCTATTTTTAATGAGCAGTTTTAAAATCACATAAATGACTTGGAAATGCATAGGGGGCTGGAGAGATGGCTCAGTGGTTAAGAGCGTTGCCTGCTCTTCCAAAGGTCCTGAGTTCAATTCCCAGCAACCACACAGTGGCTCACAACCATCTGTAAAGAGGTCTGGTGCCCTCTTCTGGCCTTCAGGCATACAGACAGGATATTGTATACATAATAAATAAATAAATATTAAAAAACCTTAAAAAAAGGAAATGCAGAGATTCCTCTCAACATCATGTGTATCCTTCCTCCCTATAGATGCCCCCATCAGACTGGCATGCTTCTTAGAGTTGATGATCCTACATGTGCACCACTGAGCCCATATTTTAAATTAAGGCTTCCACTTGGTGCTATACAGTGTGTAGGCATGGATAAATTTAATCACACAACATGGATTTTTAGAATATCATAGTTTTGTTGTCTCTTCCCACCCCCTGCCCATCCCCTAAATCTATCTTTCTCTATCCTGTCTCATTAGAAGATCTGGAAATCACTTATAGTTTTCCTTCCTCTATAGTCAGAATTTTGCAGAATTGGGTTTTTATTATCTTAGTGCCTCTGACTCATAAATGTGCACTTGGGTTTCTTAATGGCCTTCTATAGGTTGATAGCTCATTTCTTCTTGTTGAACAACAATCTCCTTTGTGGATCCTCACAGAAACAGATGAGTGGAGAATCCTCTGGAATTAGACTTACAGGTGGTTTTGTTGGACCACAAGCTGGGTCTTCTGGAAAAGCAGCAAGGTATTTTAACCACTGAGCTACCTCTCATACCTTTATTTTCTATGTTTTAAAAAGATTTGTTTTTATTGATTCTGTGTTTGTGTGTGAGCATATTTTAGGAGACTGTGAATGTGCTTGCAGAGGGTGTTGGGTCCCTCTGGGCTGGAGTGAAGGCAGGAGTTGATCACCCTGATACGGGGAGGCTGCTGAAAACTGATCTGAGATAAATCCACTTGATCTTAATCTTGTGCCATTGCTTTAAGTCTTTTTTAAAAGAAAAATCTGTATTTGTTTAAGGTATCTCATATTGACATGCATTCTATCCATTAATTCTGTATTCCGTTATTTCTATCATGTTTTACTATTTATATAGCTTTATGACATATAATTTTTAATGAAGTTGACTTTCGATCTTAAGTTCCATTCTCTTATAAAATTCTCTTCCTATTTATTTGTTCAATCATTCCTTGTTCCAAAGATTTAAACATTTTATTTTTATGACATTGTTGTTTTATTCTAACACCTGCATCTTTCTAGCTTGGTACTGTGTAAAGTCTGCCCAGAATCAGGATGCTCTTATCCTCTTCCAGGAGTAGCTCACCCTTTGCTCTTGGTTTGATAGAGCTCTACCTTGTACAGTCATGCTAACTCAAACATTCACCAAACTTTGTCAGGATTCTCTGATGTCCTTAAAAGCAAGTAATTTGGGCAAATTTCAAGTTACAAACATGAATTCTCTACATCAACTCTGCCAGGCAGTTTCCATCCTATACTCTTGGTAGTTTTTACAAAATCTCATTCTGCCTTCAGAGAGTTTTTAAATTATATTTTCAGTCTTCTTTCTTGGACTTCTGAGTTGACAAGTGTCCTGGGCAGGAAAACTGACCTTAGCTCAAGTTTTCTGTGCTGTCAGAGGCTACTTAATTGTGGTGTCTGTGTCAAAAACCTGTTGATTATTAGTCAGTTTTATGGTTGTTTCTCTGATGTCAGATAATCCACCGAAGATAGAGGGAAATTCTACCAAATTGTGCATAATATATAACTTCATACTTTAAAATATATAAATTTTTGTAACCTTTGATCATGAAGGAAGGAGGATATATTTTTTTCTTCTTAATTCTGGGGAGATTGAACCCAGAGACTCTAATCTTTAGGCAAAAGTTCTACTGTTGGGCTACAACAAGAGAGCTTAGCTTCTTTCTGTTCAGCTGCCATCCTGAGTACCAGAAGAGGCATTTGGCACATAATGGGCACTTCATCAGAGCTGTCTGCCCTATTTAAGTTTGCATCTGCTTTTCTCACTTTTACCTCTTTCTCACTTCAGGTTTAAAATCGAATAACCAAAAATTACATTTCATGCATAAGGAATGATCATCCGTTTTTTGTTTTATATTTCCTCACTTCCTTATGGAGGAATCATTAATTCAGGGAAAGATGTAAATAATTGAACTCCAGATGACACTTGATATTTAGAAACACAAATGATAAACGTGATCAATGTGTATACATTATGTACATGCATAAAATTCATAAGGAAATCTATTGCTTTGTACAGGAAAATATACTAGCTAAAAAGTAAAACATTAAATAAAAATTAGACTATAAACAAAGCTTTTCAATTATTCATACTGCCAAAAGTTCAATAAAGATAAAGCTTTCCTTCAGTTGTATCCATACAAATTTACCTTGCTAGCAATCACATAATAAGATGATCAGAACTGAGTGCCAGAATCAAATAGAATATTGAAATTTCCAGAAATTTCCAGAATCTCTTGAAAGGGCAGGAGGAGCTGTGGGAAAAACCAAAGGAAACATATGTACTAATGTAAATAGAGACAGGGCCACAGCTTAGAACGCACAAGTCTCTGAGTGCGGGACATGATATGATGAAACCATGTAGAGTGCTTTAGTTACTGTTCCTATTTCTAGGATAAATTAGGAAGGGTTTTTGGCTCACAGTCCAAGATTACACCAAGACAGGGAAGGTGAAAACCGGGGACTTGAACAACTGGTCACACTGCATCTCCAGGCAGGAAGAAGAGAGCAAGAAAGGCTCAGCCCACTTTCTCCTCTTCATACAGCCCAGGGAATGGTGCCACACAAATGGTCTTCCCACATCAATTAACCTCAGAACAATAATCCTCCATAGCATGCCCAGAGGTCAGGTGGGTCTAGATCTCAAGTTCATAGCTGAGATTAACAGAAAACCCACAAAAACTCCATTTACACTTTTATTTCTAGAACAAAAAAAAGATAATATGAGACCATCAAACATCTGGATTCTTTGGAGAATTTCGGTAGTTACTTCTGTTGCTCAAATTAATTTTTTAACAGTATTGTGTCAAGCAATCATTTAACAGGATGTGGTTTTTGTCTGTTTATTTCTTTTTGTTGCTTGGAAGTGTACCTAGGGCTTGGCATGCATGTATGATCTACTACTGATTCCACCCTCAGTCTCAAACACTTTCGTTTAGTGATAGAGGTGGCAAATTAATAATAATAAGGTTATCCCTTTAATATTTACAAATGAGATTGCTAAAATTAATATTTATAAAACCAAGTGCTAGGTATGTGATGGCCAAATAACGCAGACAATCTCCAGCTTAAGTCCTCCACCGAAGAAGAAAAATGTCACCTTTCTAGTGTCTGAATATTTAGTACAGAGAATGGCTATAATTTGGAAGGCAAGTATGCGAATTGTTGTGCTCATGGTGACTCAGGGTAACTGTCAGGAACTTCAACCGTGAGTGATGCTCACTACATAAATGTATGGTTAACGTAAGAGGTCCTCTATTTAATAACCAATAGCAACAAAAAAGGGAAAATATGGAAACACCTTAGCTACAAAAACTTGAAATTTTGTGGTAAACAACAGTAAAGTATTTGGCATTTGGAAGAAGGAGAGGGATGGATGTCTACCAGTGTGCAGCCAACCTGGTCTACATAGTGATTTCTAGGACAGCCAGGGTTACATAGAGAAACCCTGCCTGAAAACACAATACAAACAAAAACAAAATCGAAGAAGAACTAAACTGAATTTTAAAAAACCCCAAAGCAGGTCAAGTAAAATTCCTTTTGTGGTCTAATACTTGATCTAAAGTAAAATATATGTTGAATTATGGAGAAATTGTGTTCCTAATATTTATTATACCTGAAACTACTAACTACAATAGATATCAAGAAAAAAAAACCACCGTTTTCATAACTGAGTAAATGTATATGCTTTGATTACAGTGCCAATACAATATAATTCACTCAAGAGAACCATTTTGCTGTAGATTTGGCAAAAATAAATTCCCCTAACCAAATACAACAGCTAACTGAATATAAAGCTCTCCCTGCAGTGGGGACTTTCCTTACTTTCTCTCCCAGGATCCTGAGGCAACAGCTGGGGGATCATGGGTTTGAGGAATTTGAACTCACCAGTTCCAGAATCCCCAGTCAGACACACCTCATACTGGTAGCTCTGTGACAGGGTCCCCGTGCCGCTGACATCCACCAAGTGGCCAGGAAAGTGTCCCTCAGGCACAGTGCAGGCACCCAGAGACGCCGCCCTGGCCCTCCTGCACAGCCTCACACCCACAAACAGCAGCACAGACAAGAGGAAGAGCGAAGACACAGACGCCAAGGCGATAACAAGATATAGCGTGAGCGCATCCTCATCTTGGGCAGGATCGCGCAACACCTCAGGCAGAGGCAGGAAGGGCTGAGAGAAGCCATCCACCACCAGCACATGCAGAGTGACACTGGCAGACCGCTGAGGATGGCCATTGTCCTTGACCAGCAGCAGCAGCCTGTGCTTGGGCGCATCGCGCTCGCTCAGCAGCCTGGAGGTGCGCACCTCGCCATTGTGAGCCCACACGCTGAACAGCCCTGGTTCCGTGGCCTTGAGCAGCTGGAACGACAGCCAGGCATTCTGGCCAGAGTCGCGGTCCACAGCCACCACCTTGGTGACCAGGTAGCCAGGCTCTGCCGCCCTGGGCAGCAACTCTGTGAAGGGCGCAGAGGCGTTCTGCAGCGGGTAGAGCACGAAGGGCGCATTGTCGTTGGCATCCAGCACGTGGACCCGCACCAGCGCCTGGCTGCTGAGCGCAGAGGAGCCTTGGTCTGTTGCTCCCACGAGGAACTCGAAGCTCTTCAGGGCCTCATAATCCAGCGCCCTGAGCGCGAACAGCTGTCCGTTGTCGGCATTAATGGAGATGAGAGGGGATAGGTCCAGCTGTGGGTCGTGGGTGGGCAGCAGTGAGTAGGTGATGTGGGCATTGGAGCCTGAGTCTGAGTCTGTGGCGCTGATGGTGCCTATGTGCAGGGCGGGGCTGTTGTTCTCTTCAACAAACAGGGTGTAAGAGCTTTGTGTGAAGGCGGGGGCGTTGTCGTTGACATCAGACACCTGCACTGTTATGGTGCGCTGGGTTGTGAGCCTGGGTGTGCCCATGTCGGTGACTGTGATGGTGATGTTGTACTCAGCTCTGCTCTCTCTGTCCAGTGGCCCCTCTGTCACTAAAGTGTAATAGTTCTCGAATGTGGGTTTTAAGAGAAATGGAAGATCATTCTGAATAGAACACACCATCCTTCCATTGTCCCCAGAATCTGGATCAGAAACACTGAAAACAGCAACTACAGCTTCAGGGGCATTTTCTGGGATGGAACTAGTGAGCGAAGATATGGTGAGTTTAGGGGCGTTGTCATTCACATCCAGCACCTGTATAGCTACACTGCATTTTCCTGAAAAGCCACCGCTGTCTGTTGCTACAATTTCCATGTTATAATAAGGAGTTGCCTCAAAATCCAATGGCATTTTAAGGCGAATTTCTCCTGTGACCTCGTTTATAACAAATGGCAGAGAAGCTCCATCACCTTGAAACAGAGAGTAGACTACTTTCCCATATATCCCAGCATCTAAATCCCTGGCAGAAACTGCCACAACTAAGGCACCAAGGGGGCTGTTCTCAGGAATCTGAACCTCATAGAGCGACTGTACAAACTGGGGAGCGTTATCATTGATGTCCACGACTTCAATGTTAACTGTGGTGGTCCCAGACCTGGGTGGAGACCCACCATCGACAGCAGTGAGGGTTAAAGTGAGCTCAGGCTGCTCCTCCCTGTCCAGGGCTCTGTCCAGCACCAGCTCTGGGTATTTCCTGCCATCAGCACGACTGTGAGTAACGACATGGAAGTGGAGGTTGGGGCTGACTGTGTAGTTCTGAACAGCATTGCTGCCTATGTCAGGGTCCTGAGCTGCCTTCAGAGGAAACACAGTCCCTGGCTGGGCGCTCTCCGGGATCTTTAGGAGCATTTCCCTTTGAGGGAACTCTGGAGAATGGTCGTTTATGTCTGTGAGCTGCAGGTCAGTTTGGAAGAACTGCACAGGGTTTTCCAGTATGAGCTGGAAGTGCAGCACACAGGGTTCTGTCGCCCCACACAGCTTCTCCCGATCTGGTTTTTCCTTCAGGAGTAAATTCCCTGTCTCTGCATCCAGCTGCAAGAGCTCTTTGTTTCCTCTATGATGGATTCGCGCCCCTCTAGTGGTCAGTTCCCCCACCTTGAGCCCCAAATCTTTTGCCAGATTAGCCAGCAAATATCCACTCTTGGTTTCTTCTGGCATGGAATATCTAATTGCTTCAGAACCAGCCTCCCACAAAAGCAACAACACAACAATAAAAACGACTTGCCTTTTCTCTGGCGTTTTTGCTAGAGCTGCCTCCATTGTTCAGATGCAGTCCAGAGGGTGCTGCTTCTTCAATTTGGTTTCAATCCAGAGATAGTTTGGTGAATAAGCTCGAATTAAATCTTCTTTAATGTCTTACTAACCCCGGGGATTTCTCCTCTAGTTGACACTTAGATATCTTCTCCTTCTGGGGAGCAGACAGCGTTCTGATTTTCAGCTCACTCTTTATTTTCCTGGGTATTTGCCGAGACCGTCATTCTCACTCTTAGTCAATGGCGCCACCCAGTGTTCATTTTCATGATTGCATATAGTTCTGTCATCCTAAATTCTAAGCCTGCTTTTGAGACACAGGCGTTCCTCCTGATACCGTGTATGTCAACTCCTAAATATTGGCGGTGTAAACCTACCTTTGCTGAGCTACTATCAAGTGAATGTATATTTATAATATAGTATCTTAATATGATATAGTAATCTTAATAAAATTCTTTCAAAAGCATGAAAAACCTTGATATTTTATTAATTGTATACAGAAAAAATGAATTTTACATAATTTAATTTTGTTTAGATGTAGAACATACAGACAGAACTGTCACAACAAAAATATTTTCCACAGTTAATATATTTCTATAAGCAGAAACTAAAGAAAAACTAAAATGTCCAAAAACATGCCATGACCCCTCTGGCCATTATTTTGTGACTAACTCTTTCTATAAAAGCAATATATTGACTGGTATCATTGCACGTTATTCTTTGTTAGACCTT